ATTTTAGGAAGAGAAATTTGAGGTGTAACTTTCAGTGAATAAGCTGAGAATAGGTGAGAAGATGTTAGGAAAGTTGAGTTCTACAATGGAATTTGAGATGATTTGAGTTTTCAGCGAAGGTGGAGCATCAGCTACAGAGAGGGAATAGCTCAAGCTTCCTGATGATGCGATGAAGGCGTTGTAAGAATCGCTTTAATCAAGCTAAAGCTTTGCTGACGATGGATGCATCTACCTCACCGGAAGGTATTGACATATGGGGGAGTCGTCAGGCGTCGACATCTGGAGGAGCTGCCTGCAGGTCTAGATCCAGGGCCTTCAATGTGGGCTCCGACATGTTCATTACGGGAAACACAACGCCGTCCAGGAGGCACGAGGAGGCCGAGCACGATGAGGAAGCGCTCAAGTGGGCGGCCCTGGAGAAGTTGCCTACTTACGACCGTCTGCAAACCACCATTCTTCAAAAGAACCTTGGAAGCCGAGTGGTGCACGAGGAAGTGGATGTCTCAAAAATCGGGTATGACAAGCGCCGAGAGATCATTGACAACTTGCTGCGAGTTGCTGACGAAGACAACGAACGCTTCTTAGCGAAGCTTCGAAATCGGATAGACCAGTACAGATACTTCCTCGGGTGGTTGTGAAGCAGAAATGCAGCAAATCAAACTGCACTCTTCCTCTACCTGGGGTGTCTAAGAATAGGCAATAGGCTTTCGACCAAGTTGCAGATTTAGACCTCATCTCAATTCGTAAGAAATGGACAAATGGCAAAGAAATCTCTATGGATCAAGTTGCTTCATTAGGCACTGAAACACAACAAGTCTTGTGTAATGTTTTACGTGGGTGGTCTGTAAAATCTTTTTGTGCAGGGTTGGAATTCAGCTTCCTACAATTGAGATTAGGCACGAAACCTGATAGTTGACGCCAAGTGCTTCGTAGGATCACGAGCATTACCGACACTCAAGAATGTCACAATTAACGTCTTTGAGGTCTCAAAAACATTTTATCCATGTTCCTTACAATTTAAACTGAGTTTTTCTCGCATCTATAAGTAAGCCGGTAATCTAATTGTAGCTGTTCTTGCAACAAAGAAGTATCAGATGGATTATTCACTTCCCAAGGCCAAAGATTTTGAAAGCTCTAGATAGACTAGTTAGTTTCCTTCAAGAAAAGGCTATTCTTCGTTCACCTTAAGTACTGAATCTTATTGTGATGATGTAGAGTATTCTGGATTCTCTAGGTTTGTCTACCGCAAGAAAAACGAAGCTGAACATCCTTCGTATTGTTAGTGGAATTATCAAACCAGGGCGGTACGTTTTTCCTCCAAATTCACCACAGAAGTTACTAAAATTGTGGGGATTACTTGCAATAAAACTGGAACCAAACCCGTAATCTTGGGACTCGCACTGAAGAATGACATTACTGCAGGGACCACCAAGCTCAGGGAAAACCACACTGCTGCTTACTCTCTCCGGAAAATTGGACAAAAGCCTGCAGGTAGTACTTGTTTCAAATCTCAGTATTGGAACTTGGCTTCACGCCGAGGTGCTCATCAATGTTATTTGAATGTGTATGTTATAAGTTTTACATCGGAGGTGTAGAAGGTCCTCCGATGTGAAATGACCGCTCGTGAAACTCGTTGTGCTCCAATCACTCGTCGGCGATAGCATGCACCGAGGCATCTCAGGTGGCCAGAAGAAACGCGTCACCACTGGTATGGTAAACAAACTGCAGTGAATTTTAATTCGATTGTGGTGCGTTTTGGGCTTTGTGTAACTAGAACATGCTCACGAAGAGGAAGAGGCTCACTCTGTGCAGCGGAAATGATAGTCGGCCCCACAAAAGCGCTCTTCATGGACGAAATCTCGACAGGCTTGGACAGCTCCACCACTTACCAGATTGTTAAGTGCCTTTCACAGTTCTGGCATGTCATGGATGCTACTATTATGATGCCACTGTTACAGCCAGCGCCCGAGACATTCGAACTCTTCGATGACGTTGTGTTGCTCAGCGAAGGTCAAGTTGTTTACCACGGGCCTCGTGAGTTCATTCTCGAGTTTTTCCAGTCGTGCGGTTTCGTATGTCCCGATCGCAAAGGCGTGGTGGATTTTCTGCAAGAGGTGACGTCGCAGAAGGATCAGGAGCAGTATTGGAGTGACAAACTGCTGAAGTACCGGTATGTGTCGGTAAATCAGTTCGCGGAGAGGTTCAAGTCGTTCATTGTCGGAATCGACTTGACGGAGGATCTCGCCCCCCCATTTGAGAAGGAACGCTCGCACAAGGCGTCCCTCATCTTCGATCGCTATGGCGTGAGCAACATGGAGCTCTTCAAGGCCAATTTCGCGAAGGAGTTTCTACTCATGAAACGACAGTCCTTTTACCATATCTTCAAAGCGTGCCAGATTGGGATCATGGCCTTCGTCGCCATGACCACTTTCTTCCGCACCACGATGGATCACGAGACGGAGGTAGAAGGTGCAGCGTATCTAGGATCGTTATTTTTTGGCATACTCAATGTAATGTTCAATGGCTATGCTGAGCTTTCGATGATAATCTTCCGCCTTCCAGTGTTCTACAAGCAGCAGGACCTGCTGTTCTGTCCACCATGGGCTTTTGCTTTGCCAAGCATGGTGTTGAGCATCCCCTCGTCCGTTGTGGAGGCGGGAATCTATACACTCATCTCTTACTACGGAATGGGGTTCGCTCCCGAAGCGAGCAGGTATGCATGCCAGCAGAGTTGTTAAGTGTTCTTCTCACGAAGGTACAATTGAATTCGAGGTATTTCTGGACAGTGTGTTTCTAATAATTGATCGGCCATTTCAGGTCCTTCAGTTTCTTTCTGTTGCTCACGTTAGTGCACCTCATGTCGAGAGCCTTGTTTCGGTTGATTGCGAACACCGGCGGAACCTGCGTGTTGATCATCTTTGTTCTCCTTGGAGGATTCATCATTCCAAAAGAGAAAATCAAACCTTGGTGGATCTGGGGCTACTGGTCATCGCCAATCACATATGTCGAGACGGCAATCACCGTGAACGAGTTTCTCGCACCCCGATGAACTACAGTCAGTAGTTTCTATTCCTTGTCTGCAACTCACAATCTGTATTATCAGAAACTTTTCTAGGAGCTAGAGATATTGTTAACAACGAATCCTGACCGTTTTTTGAATTTGGACAGGAAACACCGAACAGCACCGTGACCCTTGGTCACAAGGTGATGCGCAATTTTGGAATCCATCAAGATGCTTACTGGTATTGGCTCTGAGTGGGGACGCTTGCTGCTTACACACTGGCTTTCAACATGTTGTTCACCCTCACTCTCACGTATCTGGATCGTAAGCATCTAGAACCCAATTTATTATTCGCTGTTAGTTTACAATGATGAGGGATGCACTGCGATGTTCGAGTATCAACTCTGTAGAACCACTTGAGGTGATCTGGTCGACTTGGCTTTCGAACTTATATATCTATTAATTTGGCTACTGCCTTGCATAGCCTTGGGAAAGCCACAAGCAGTCGTATCGGAAGAAGTACTCGCTCAGAAGAATGCCAATCGGGCAGGGGAGGAGATAGTGGTGTCGACCAGCCATAAAACGAAGAGTCTTCGACCAAGGGCGACGGACTCTGTGAGCATGTACGAGAGTGTCTCTCGAAACAGAGAAGAGCATGTTCAAGAGCACGTTCTGAAAATAAGCAATGACAGTGGTGATGGCACGGCTCCGTTGTCTACTCGAGAGACAAGACATAAACGGGGAATGATACTGCCATTCAAGCCGTTCGCGATGGCTTTCAGGGACATTAAATACTATGTGGACATGCCGGCAGATATGAGAGCTAAGGGATGGCGGAAGAAAGGTTGCAGCTCTTATGTGGAGTGATGGGAGCATTTCGGCCTGGAGTGCTTACAGCGTTGGTTGGTGTGAGTGGCGCCGGGAAGACGACGCTCATGGATGTCTTGGCAGAGAGGAAAACCAACGGCTATATTGAGGGAGAGATTCGCATATCCGGCTTTCCGAAGGTGCAAGAAACATTTGCGGGGATTTGTGGGTACTGTGAGCAAAACGACATTCACTCGCCACAAGTGACCGTCAGGGAGTCGCTCGTTTTCTCGGCTTGACTGCGTTTGTCTCCCGAGACTGAAGCAGGAACTCGGATGCAATTTGTGGAGGAAGTCATGGAATTAGTGGAGCTGAAATCTGTGGAGCACGCCCTAGTTGGCTTACACTGCGTGACTGGTCTCTCCACCGAGCAAACGAAGAGACTGGCTATTGCAGTGGAACTTGTTTCCAATCCTTCTATTGTCTTCATGGATGAGCCTACAAGTGGCCTTGATGCTCGTGCAGCTGCCATCGTGATGCGGACTGTGAGGAACACAGTCGACACAGGGCGCACTGTTGTTTGCACCATCCATCAGCCAAGCATCGACATATTTGAATCTATTGATGAGGTGAGCATCATAGTGAAATCAATCACACTTGCATTCAAGTGCCAATCATAACGCTAAGCACAGTACGTAGAGTTGTTCGTTCATGTTGATATCCTTGGGTTTGTGGCAGATGTTGCTGATGAAGCGAGGAGGACAGGTGATTTACATGGAGCGTTGGGACGGAATTCGGAGACTCTTATCAAGTACTTTGACGTAAGTCAATTCCAATCAGATTGATATTGGTTATGTGGGTTTTCTTATTCCGGCCATGAGTGTTGACACTATAGAACAATCTGAAATTCTTACACGCTGCTCTGCAGGAAATTCCTGGAGTGCCCAAGATAAAGGAAGGCTTCAATCCAGCGACATGGGTGTTGGAGTCGACTAGTGCAGCTGTGGAATTACAACTACAACTGGATTTTGCCGAAATATATAGGCAATCCTCACTCTGCACGTGTGCTACTCGCATAGCCCACACTCTTCTTATGAGGCGTGAAGGATGTCCAGCGCATTCTAATCTGCAAGGTTCCGATTACACTTGTTAGTCGACTTTGAAACTCTTGTGAAGCAGGCATAACAAGGAGATGGTGAAGACTCTCAGCAATCCGGCACAACGAGCAAAGGACTTGAGCTTTCCAACACAATACTCGCAATCATTCTGTACCCAAATCGTTGCCTGCCTGTGGAAGACGAAGCTAACCTACTGGCATAGCCCCGATTACAATTGCGTTCGGTACTTCTTCACATTCATGACGGCCTTCATCATAGGCTCAATGTTTTGGCGCGTTGGCAGGAACATGTTAGCTTGCAAACGATTCGCTCTCAACTCCCTCTTGACTAGCAGCTTGCGAACGGGACTGATCTTGCAGAACCCTAAAGCATAACATTATTGGCAAAGTTGTCAACAAAATGCTTCCTCCTATTACTGCGAAGTTGTTTTTCCACTAGCTTTATATAACCTGCCGGATGTGCAGCAACGATCAGGTGAATCTGTTCAGCGTCTTGGGAGGTCTGTTCGCCGCCACATTGTTTCTGGGTGTCAACAATGCGTCCAATGTTCAGCCCCTAGTGGCGATTGAAAGGACGGTCTTTTACGGAGAGCGCGCAGCATAGATGTATTCAGCCGTCCCATACGCAATTGGCTAGGTGACAATCGATCTCTGCGTCCATTCTCAACTTGACGGCTTAACCATCTTCCGATGCTCAATTTCTTTCTGGCTTACTAATGCGGGGTTTTTCTTGAGGTTGCAGGTGTTGATAGAGATTCCTTATTGCTTGATACAAAGCATCGTGTTCTCTTCACTCTCCTACTCAATGATGAGTCTAGACTGGACATCCAAAAAATTCTTCTACTACATCTTCATCATGTACTTCACCCTCCTCTACTTCACGTACTACGGCATGATGCCGGTGGCCCTCACACCCAATCACCAAATCGTGGCGATTGTTTCCTCTGGGTTTTATTCCATCTTCAACCTCTTCTCAGGTTTCATGGTCTTCAGACCTGCGAGTTCTTGATCTTCACTTTGTCCCTGCTTCTCCACGACGCTTCCTTTCTGTGTAGAGCACACGTCGTCGCTGATGTTGATTCGAAACCAATTAGGGTCAATATTTGTTTTCACATCTAGACTCGTTTCCAAATTCCTCATGCAATGTGCAGAATATCCCGGTGTGGTGGGTGTGGTACTACTGGGCCTGCCCTGTGGCGTGGACACTCTACGGGCTAATTATCACCCAGTTCGGAGACGTGGCTAGTATTATAATCCCCTCGGACGGGTCACCTCCGATCATGGTGAAGGATTACGTGGAGAAGACATTTGGAATGACTTCGAACATAATTGGGCCTTCAGTTGCCATGCCTTTGGTGTTCACTGTGGTTTTCGCTGCTGTTCTTGCGATTGGAATCAAGTACATCAATTTTCAACAGAGATAATCTTTTGAAACTCAACACCGTCTGATGCACCAAAAACAATTTCAGACCTTTGTACAATACTTTTCCTCATACGGGTAAGGAAACGATTCCAAAACTGGCATGAGAAAGTGTTCAATCCAGTCATGCCATGGGCAATGAAGGAGACGCTAGCTTTTTCGGAGAGGTAGAATGAGGACGATTCCTTCAAACCAACCACTTGACCCTTCGGTAGCAAAAACAAAACAAAAAATGAACTAAAACTAATCCTAAAACTTAAATCCAGAATGTTCTCAGTAAACAGGTTATTATCGACAAGTCAAACTTCTTCCACCCAATGCTGTTCAACGACTTATACTGTCTTTTCTAACCATGGTGTTCATACCGACATAATGTAACTCATACAGACTCTGCATGAGTAGCCGCGAACTCAAGCTATCTGATCAACGCTATTGCTGATCCCAAGTTCGCTACAACACAATCTAGAATCATAACTGCTGGAAACAACAAAACTCAGAAGTCCACTCTGGGTGTGAACCCATTTGAGAGGATGATTCCACAACACTGTCTCTACTTGTTTACTTCTTTCTCTTCCATAGGCTCGTTGCTTTCACGGAAAAACAGCATATACAATACTCTTTGATGGACTGTGCAGTGTAGTGTGTGCTTCATTTCCTTCATGATTCCAGTCTCTTCATCTTTTTCTCTGTCGCTATCTCCATGTCCATTTCAATTTCATGATCGGCCGCTGCATTGCGAAGAACCTGACGCCCCAACTATTCTTACGGATCCCACATTCCTTTCCCTTGCAGGGATCGCCGTCTTGTGGGTGTCGAATACCTCGGCTTGTGGGCGTTGAGTGTCGTTACCTCTTCTTGTACCAACTAGCTCCATCCATATCAACAAGTGGCGGAAATTTTGTTCCATAGAGCAGGAAAATAGATCACATAAATTTGATTAAATTTCCTAATTTGGAGGATTTTATTTTATTTTATTTTATAGGAAGTGAACTTTTTTTTTAGAGAGAACTAAATATTGGAGGAAAAGGAGGTTATTATTATTATTGGTAGTAGTAGTAGTATCATTTTCTTGAAATACTGACACTTGGTTTTAAGTAAAGATTTGCCACATGTTTTGTGAGAAGGCTCATTTATAGAAGGATGATTATTTGAAATTTTGTATTTAGGTGTTCAAATTGTAAACTTATTAATTTCTTGATATATTTATAATCGTACTCAATGGCAAGTGAAGATGAATCATTTAAAATATGTCTAGGCCAAATGAAATGACCCATTGACCTTGATATAATGGACATTGGGATTGAAGATTAAAACAAAGTGAAACCATTTTTGTTTTAAAAAAATATCAGTAATATACAAAAATTCTGTGCAATGCAAAAATGTATGGTTTTATGCCTCATTGACTATTTATGAAATGCATATTAGCACATACCATATATCACAAGAATACAAATGCACATATAATCCTTGACCATACAAAGAATGCAGTTATTGATTTCTTTATTTCTTTTATTTTATTGTTGGAAGCCTTATCTTCATTAAGTTTTTGAAAAAGATCTTCAACTTTATTACAAATCTTCTGTACATCATTTGTCAAAAGCATGCTTTGAGAATTCCACCACTTTGCTTTTACCTATGAAACAAAGATGATATGTTTCATGACAACCATTCCAATATTTGTCAATGCATTGTTTTTGTTTTGTTATTTGTTTTTGTAAATCTAATGCTTAAATACTGCAACTCTTAGGATTCTTAATATATATATATATATATATATATGTGTGTGTGTGTGTGCATATAATTATCTACCTATGTTTTTGAATACAATACTTTGTGAGCTGTATTTTAGTCACTATTTTTTCCCTTTCTTTATATAAAGAGATGTAAATATTTTAACTTGGCTTCAACAACATAAGTTCAAAGTTTTTTTTCTTTTTCTTTTTTTTTTCTTTTTTTGTAATCAACTCATAATATTGTTGTTGTTTTGTTAGAGGATATATTATATATGTGCACCAACTATTGTATTTATTGCATTTGAAACCAACTAACGAAATGCACTTCAAGTCCTTAGAATACTTGAATACAATTTTTAAAATTCAAAATATGTATTAAATGGAAATAGCATTGCAAGTGAAGGTAGACACAAATAATGTATTACGCCAACATGAAAAATGCAGTAAAAGTGGGGCTAGACCTAGAAAGGATAAAAGTGAATGTGCACTAGAGAAATATTCCATTTACACCCAATGATTAGCAATGATTCACAGTTCAACAAATAAATGTTGAAACTTTAAGAATAAATTTATATGTTCATTTCCCATGGTCAAGGATACCATTCAAGTGTATTACCAATGCATGCAAAACACATAAACAAATAAATAGACAAAGAAATGAAGTCCAAACACATATTTCAAAAATTTTTTTTCTTCTTCTTATAAATTCTTTTTAAATTTTATATTCTACTCTTTTTCAAAATTTTATAAAGATGATAACATAGTTCATATTTTTAAAGTATGGGGGCAGAATAATGAAGTCAAAATATTCCTGAAGGAGGGTTTCGGGCACCAGATATCCCATAACGATAAGGCCACCTCGTCATGACCCCCCCCCCCGCCCAACAAGAATTCCCCACTACTGCGGCACATGTTTAAGAAGGACCACCAATCAACGGCGACCTCCAGCTCAGCATTTTAGGGGTGAGTGCGACCCCATGGAAATGCTGAGGTGGACTCCGGGGCCACGTCGTCCGCTAGACGACACCGGTTCCAATCCGGCTTGTCGCGTAGCGCCTGCAACGGTATTGGCCAGACGGTGGATGCGTCGCGGAGTTTGTTTGGCAAATTGAGGAAATGTGCGCAAATTTGTAGCTTGAATCCCCATATCCTGCAGGTGGGCCTTCTCTCCGCAATATCTATTTTTCATCGCCACCCCCTTTTGAGAATCCAGACAAAGCATGCCTCAATTCCCGATGTAGCTCTGAGCTTACCCTGTGGACTCGGCCCATGTCTTGGAACCGTTCTCCACTGCTTCGACACAATCTGAGCTTTCGATATCGATCACTCGTTCGTGTTCCCCTGCTTGTGGCACAAGGATCCTGGGTGCTTGCTTTGTTCCCAAGTGGAAAGTACCCGACCTTGGATTGTCACTTAGCGAGTGGAGTGCCCACTAGAACCCCAGCATAGCTCCAGTTGGAGTCTCTGGTTTCGAATTGACAATGGTCCTGGTTCTTGACCACTGCCTCTTATGGTGGCGTAGCTCAAAGGCCTGGGCTCGTGCTCGGTCATTGTGTGCACTGGCTGCGAGGATAACATAACGTGCACTTGAGTTCATCGGCGCGGATGACCCTGCCTGGTTCTAACACGTCGGAAACAGCAATAGTTCATGAAGGATTGGAATAAGATGGGTTCGTGAGTACATATTATGGCGCTGCTGGTTGTTTGGAATGTAGTCGATGAAAGCTACTGCTGACTTCCCCGAAGCGAAACACAGTGTAGTTATTATCTTGTTTGTTTGTTTGTTTGTTTTTTTTTTGTTTTGTTTTGTTTTTTTTTTTTTTTCTTGTGTTTTTTTCCTACCAGGTGGATGTGAAGCACCTTCATGGAGTGCCGCGGCTCCCTCTGTCATTCCTACGGCACAGCGAGAAATCGGTTTGAGATTCCTAGTTTACTTGTGGGATGTTTATGTGCATTTCACGAAGATGATTGCGAGGGATACAATTTGCAGCCCAGCACAGATGGAGCCAAGACATGGACACAATGGATCAGAGAAAACAAATTCTAAAGAATTTACGTGGTTTAATGTGTGGATTGGGTTCCTTGTGATGTCCTTTTAAAAATCCAAAAATAAAAAAAAATGAATCTCATACTTTTTTAAGAATTAATTCCCTATTTTCTTTGGAGAAATCTGCATTCTTTAATTATTTATGCATGCAATGTTTATCTTTACTGTAGTATTCTTAAATTTATCTGTTTTTCTTTTGTCCATTTCTTCCTTGGATGGCTCTTTCAAAAAAAAAATACAAGAAAGAATTGAAGTAAGTAAAATCTAATAAACCATGTGGGCAAATGATGAAAAAGGAGGTTTGCATTACATTGAGCCTCTACCAAACTTGCAAATTCTTACTTTAGAGAAAAGAAATTGGAAACATGAAAAATAGATAATAAATAAAGAAATAAAGAAAAATGGAAGATTGAAGAAAGGATGCCTTTAGATGCAAAGTATCTGTATTGTGCAATTCAATTCTAGATCATTCTACATCCCCTCATCAATTAAGTGACTTATTGTGCTTTGCATAAATCCAATCTTGTATTTTGTATAAGTCTTGATAAATTTAGAAGTTGATGTATATATTGACATCTGCATTATCAAGTTTTTTGAATATTACATTTATGGAGTAAGTTATTTCATATATAATTTTGGCTTTATTGCTATAAGATCAATGATTTCCAAATCATTGTTAAATTTGGCTAGGTAAACATAACTAAGAACAAGAAGATTGCCAAATTTTCGCATACCAAATCATATTCATATAACAAATTAATGAAAAATTCTAACAATGTTTCTGTAACATTCAAACCTAATACTATTTATTCAATATCTTATTTTGTAATCTCAATGTCATTATCAAATTTTTCCTATTTATCTTACTTAGTTATTATATTGATTAGCATAAAATATTTTTAATACTATATAATTATATATAAGAATATTTCATTCCATACATGTCTTGCCTAATGCATTACTTATAAGACATGAATCTTGTAATGGTTGTTAGTCATGTTTTCAAATTTATTGATAGCAAAGCACATTTGGATGTAAAAAAAATTACTTTTTGAATGAAACAATAAATCTAATATCTATTGATTGAAAAATAAATGTTGTATTGAAAAGAAAGAAGTGAAAAGTGATATTTTAGGATTCAACACTATTCAAGCTATGAATTGTATAGTTCTCAAAAAAAAAAAAAAAAAAAAAAAAAATCAATTTTGGTATCTCATTTTACAA